GCATTAAAAACCAAAGCCACGAACCAGCTTATTGATGCAAATGCCAGAATGCACGTGATCTGTCAAAGCCGAGTTTCCATTAATAATGCAGCAATCATAAATATTTCCTATTAATTGCCCAAAAAGTAATACTTTGATATCAACTCCGAATAGAAGGAATAACGCTTTTTATTTCTGGTAAAGGAATAATTTGTAAAATGTATATTTACGAACTAGAATTAATTTCTTACAAATGAAATGCATTAATAACTAATAATTATTCCAACATTTCCTATAAATTCACATGAATGAAAAGGAACAATAAGCAGGAGCTTTAATACGAAATATATTGTTTCCTGGACAGCCTTCATTTGCTTGCTATGTGCGAAGGCCTTCAGTTCAATTTACACAGAAGAACCAAAAGAGACGAGCAAGCAAGGGAGAAAGAGAGGCAAAAGAGAAAGAAAAAGAAAACGAAGAAAATAGACACAGCACGTAATGTCAGGGCTCACTCCACAGCCTTCCATGGGGCACAGTCTATGACTCAAGCTAAATTTTCTTCGGTGACTTTGCCAAGCACACGACTGCAAGTGACGACGCTCTTCTCTCTCTCTTATGGATATTCTTAACACGGGAACGATCTCTCAGTATAAGGTCCTACAGCTGGCATACTCCACTCATGCCGTTACGGATTTCAAGCTTAAAGAAGAGTCTCAATCATACCCTTATACCAGCTGTCAATTCCGAAACATTGAGCTGCACGCATTCGGTTACCGGTGAAAGGTATGTGGTACAGGTTGTGGAGTCAACTAGGATATTGTACTAGCGGTATCAGTAATTGACCAGTGGATTTTAAATGAAACAACTGTAGCATTTTTAACTCAGAAAGGAAAAAGAAGGAAAAAAAGGGGCCATACTCTGTCGTAATGATCAGAACGCGTTCAAGTTTTCACAAAATGTTATCTTACAAAAAAATTGAACCTATGAAGACAGGAGCAGCATAACATGTCCCTAGAGGACACGGATTCCCTTTTCCTTTCTTTCTATTAATTGATTTATGTCCTAGAAAGATTTTGAAGTTTTTTCATATTCGTTGTTTTTATTGTTGTTTTTTTCTTCAAGGATAATTAAACCTAAATAAATCTCTAATAGACCAGGTTGATGTGGATGCAATGTGCCTTAGCCTTAGTGAAGTCTGTCACGCAAGACAAATGTCAGAGTGATGGAGTGAGTGGCTGCCTTTGATGGTGGGGAGAGCAGGGGGCGGGTGATTTAACAGTAACTTTTGTGGCTCTCCTTATACACACAGCATTTCATCATGGAACTACGCCTAAATAACTTTATCCTCGCAATTACAGTATAATGCCTGGTGATGGTCCACTACAGACTACTAAGGCTGGCGTAAGTTCATACACTGTGGCTGAATCTTTGAGACATCTCGCCGACTTCTCTCACTGGACTCCACGCTGCCTAGGTAAGCCTCTTGATCTGCAGTGGTGGAGGGTCGAGAGGAGACAAGGGCATAGAGGAATCCTTCATAAGCCTCCAACTACCGCGAGGTGGGTAGGAGTAGATCCCTGGTTGGGGTCTCCCGGGCTAGTCCATATACGACTTCCCCGACTTCCGGTTGCAGACAAGAGCTGGGGAATTTGTAATCAGGGGCCAAGGGTCAGGCGCAGGTCATCTGATCTGCAGCTTATCTTGTAAATAGGATTGCAAATGTCGTGTTCCTTTAACTTTCAAGATACTTGCTAAACAAGAGAAAAGTCATACTTTACCCTTTAAGATCTAAAACGGGCAAGCTATTAGAGAAAGAATAATTCCTGATAAACATAGGACTAGAGTAATACTGGCCCTTGCGAGGAGAAATCGATATAGTTTACCTGGTAATTTTACAGAATAGTTCCGCCTAGCGGATCACGACGATTTTGGTACAGATGGATTCCTCTCGCTCTCTACTATCCAAATGTATAGAATATCTTGCGCGACCCCCCCCCCCACAAACCCCACAATCTTGGCCCAGATAGCAGCTGAGGGCATGAAATGTCTCAGGGAAATTGCGATGCAAGATATAGATGATATACGCAGAATCAGTTACTTTTTGTCTATACAGGGGACTGTGCCCCCTGCGACCCCATGGGGGGCTGCTGCCCCGTCCCCGCCAGGGAAACACAGAATTCTTCACGTCGGACAGACTCGCCGTCGGGCGCTCCCGCACGTCGGTCGGGCGCTCACTCCTGCCGTGAATCCGTGAGAATTCTTTGTGTTCCATTGTGGGGGTTGAGGGGGGGGGCGACAGCAAGCAAAATGATAATACATATCTTACAAAAACGTCATAGATAAACTGAAGTTAATCAAAGACTGGCATAATTATGCGAAAGATGAAACCTTGATTTCATTAAAAAAAGAAATTAAATGTATATAAATATCAACCTCACTATTCTCAGTAAGAATGCTATTTAATACCAGAAAAATTGACTGCTCTAGTCCTCAAAAGTTTAACATTTGTTTCTAAGTGCGCGCGCGTGTGTGTGTGCGTGCGTACGTGTGTGTGCGTGTGTGTGTGTGTGTGTGTGTGTGTGTGTGTGTGTGTGTGTGTGTGTGTGTGTGTGTGTGTGTGTGTGTGTGTGTGTGTGTGTGTGTGTGTGTGTGTGTGTGTGTGTGTGTGTGTGTGTGTGTGTGTGTGTGTGTGTGTGTCCGGCATTTTACGAATTTCAAGAGATACAAGTTTGAATCCACAACCAAACATTAGTTTAACTGTATGTAAAATTTTAAAATTAGAAAATGTTTAGCCCATTCAGGTCCTGTGCCACACATCCTCAAAGTAAAGAACTCCCTTACCTAAAACAGTCTTTAACCTGACTCGTGGCACGATTCCCGGGATTCCTTCCCTCCAGCCACGTGCTGTCACCAAAGTCATATACCATTTTACCGCACTGTGTTGCAGCCGCTCTCTGCAATTGATGCCATGGTTGATGGCAAACCTTGGAATGACAGGGAAGTTGCAGTCAACGCATATTTTTCGACGGTCTTCATCTCCTTTATCAAAGAAAAAATCTCTCTCTCTCTCTCTTTCTCTCTCTCTCTCACACACACACACACACACACACACACACACACAATGTAAGGTAACAGTAACGCAGTACTGCTACTTCTCGTACAATACCGGGACAATTCTAGGCCAGTGTCCCTCGGAGATCTGTTCACCTTCCTTTTTACCTTCAATCACCACATGCGAGTACCACCTGGCCACCCCCTACGTCGTACATCGGACATGTAGTGGTAGCGGCCAAAGCGGATGAGCGGGGGAGTCCAGGTCACGGCACTCGCATACGTCAGGAAACAAGTTCATTTAATGCCATGTAAATTAACTATAAATTCTCATGTATATTTGCACATTTCAGAATATCAATAGTTCATATCCAGCAATACTTTACGCTGAACTTTGTCATCACTAATTAGCTGGGGGAAATCATGAACGATACGCTGCTTGTTTGTTTGTTTATTTTCGTCTTAGACCCTAGCTTACAAGTTTACCCTTCTTGCACCAGTCACTAAGGTATAAAATCATTGGTGATTTCCCTGTAAAATACATAATGATGGCCGTGACCTTACGTGTAGCAGCGGGGTCCGAACAGGAAGGAGGCGAGACCAGATCTCCCGGTAATGGTACTACCCCAAAAGTACCAGGGGGTATCAGCGCCCTCTACCGGGGTATCGTGTACTCTCGTGGACACTCGTGAGTGGCTGCTTTGTCACGGTTTATGACGTCACTAATGACGTAGCAAAACACTAGCGTGACGTCACTAGCAGACGCCATACAAATACTTGAATGTATCATAACATTCGTCGTCGTGACACATCCTCCTGGTGATAGTGTCCTCACATGATTTACTGGGCATATAAGAGGCATTGAACATTGCATGTACGTAGCTAAGCCCACGTACGTTTGCTTACAATAATTACGGGCGGTACCCCGCATTCCCCACCACGAAGGATAAATACATATAAAATAGGGTATATACAAGAAAATAAAACAATGCTGACAGTAGTTCTCGGTCCCATTTTCCAATGGGTTCATTGAATCCGACTCGTGCCATGGACTTGTCATACCAAAAAGGGGGGGGGGTACCGTGGTAGGACAAAGTGGGCGGATAGTCCCACTACAACCCTCCGGGCCCTGGGTCGTATGGTCCGATAGTTCAGCGGACCTACGACCTCCCCATACACATCAGGCCTTCTCATCTCACACCAGAGCCGAGGGGTCGCCTTCTCTTCTCGCGCTAAGGCTAAGGGGTTGCCTGGGGCTCATAATCGGTATAAATATATACATGAACATCATAACTGGAAAGAGAACATAAGGTCAGCATGGCATATATGTAGGTTACAAGGAGTCACCGAATGATACATTTTAACTTTTGACTGGGCAAGGTGGTCCACAAGTATTACAAACTTAATCTAAAACTTGACAAAACAGAAAAAAAAATGTAAAACAAATTAAAACCAATACAATATCAAAAACTTTAAAAAAAAGAGAAAAATAATGCAGAATTCAAGACATTGAAATTAAGAGAACACGAATTCAAAACGAGAACAGAACACAAGTAAAACATAAGAGAACAAATGAAGAACACGAATAAAACAAGATTCAAAACATTAAAATTAAGAGAACATAAAACTGAATAAGATTGAAATTAAGAGAGCACAAGTAAAGAAAATTAAGAGAACAAATGAAACTATTTCAAAACATTAAAATTAAGAACACGAATAAAACAAGGATTCAAAACATTAAAATTAAGAGAACATAAAACTGACAAAATAAACATAAAACATGAAAATTAGGAGAACAAAAATTAAAAGAATAAGACACCTACCGACTCGACAATGAGCGACTGAGCAAGCACACCACAGTACACCTTCAGTCACGCCATCTCATTCATTCCTCCCAAACCTCGTAGTCACTGTAATCATTGTTCGTTTCTGTGCTCATATCTGCACCAGAGTAAAGGAAATGATAAACACTAGGAGACCTGGGGTCCCGAATTACTAAATTCGTCTTCCGTCCGGTCATACCCGAAGTCATCAAGCACATGTACAGGTGCTGCTACGTCTGGGGGACGGCCTGGCAACGGACCGTCAACACCTGGGGGATCAGAAGGCAGTCTGTCTCCAACCTCAACATAGTCTAGTTCAGCAGGAGGGAGATACATTTTCAACTGATCTCTGTGCTGCTTCACTATACGATAAGGGGGCTGAAGGTCTTTAACCTCGAATACAACGGGACCTATTTGCTTGATCACTCTACAGGGACCTTGCCATCGGTCCTGTAACGCCCCTCCGGTAAAGTCCCTACGGAGGACGAGCGCACCTTCCTCCGGCTGCCAGGTAGAGCGAACTTTCCGATTGTGCGCCTGTGCATTGGCCTCTCTGGAACGGAGAGAAGCAGCAATGGCAAGCTGCCTGGCCTTAGCCAGCTGTTGCACCCTGAGATTAGTGTCCGTCGTTACTTGGTTGGTGAGTCCCCTGGGAAACAAGGCCATCTTCCCAGTAAGGAGGTAAAGAGGCTGGTCCCCCACCGAGCGATGTATGGCTGAATTTATGGCTAACCTTACGGAGGTCAGATATAGCGGCCACCTCCCTGGTTTATCAGCCACAAGCATAGCAAGGGCATCCTTCACAACCCTGTTTGTCCGTTCAACTAAACCATTTGAACTAGGATGATATGCTATGGTGAACGAACATCGTATCTCCAGCTGTCTACACACTTCCTGCCACTGTTCATAGCAAACTCGCCCCATTGTCTGTCATTATCTGTCGGGTGGTCCAAAAAGGGTTATAAAGTGATCATAAAATCCCCGAAGAACCGTTTCTGCTGTCTTATTCCTGAGTGGAACGAGCTGCAAGTACCTGGAGTGGTGATCCACTATTGACAGAACATATCGATAGCCCCCCACGGAAGCTCGGAGATCCATGAGATCTGCGGACACAAGCTCCAATGGGCCACTGGGTGGTGGACGACACTGCATCTCGGCACGTTCACGTGAACCTTTCTGTGCTGACAAGCTGTACAGTGCTGCACGTACCATTTGCATAGCCGGAACATGTTTGGAAAGAAGTAGCTATTTTGCAAATTGTGGTATGTACGTAGAGCACCAGGGTGAGCTGCAGTAGGATGGTCATGAGCAAGATGTAAGGCTTGCGACTGCAGTGAATGAGGAACACACACCTGCCTGATAATTCGATCCGGCAAAGATTTCAGGTGATATAAAACTCCATCATCAAGTTCAAATTCGTGAAGGGATGCTGGCAAGGCCCTTCTAGGAAGTTTCTTACCCTCTAAGAATTCTATGATCTCCTTCCAGAGGTCCTCTTTCAACTGGTACTCTCGTAACACAGCAGAGGCGAGAGTGGCAAGGTTGACAGGAGTGTCCGAGTTTACACTATGATTCTCATTAACAGCAAGGGCCTCATCTTGTGAGCATGGCAGAGAGTCTATAAAAGGCCTCGACAGCAAGTCAGGAACATAATTTGATGGACCAGGTTTATATACTAGTTTAAAATCATAAAAACTCAACTCATGGGCAAACCTGCTCATACGAGGCGACTTTGTTTTGCGGGAGAACACATAGGTGAGAGGGCGATGGTCAGTGTATATAGTAAATGGTCTCCCATACACATAAGGGTCGAATACCCGAACAGCCTCTACTACAGCAAGAGCCTCAAGATCTATGGCAGGATATCGAGACTCCGCATCTTTCAACGTCCTCGACCAATATGAAACGGCCTGGGGCTCTCCACTATCACTACGCTGAAGAAGAACTGCGCCGAGAGCTTGTGCAGAAGCATCTGTATGAATTTCAAAATGTCGCTCAAAGTCAGGTAGACGCAAAATGGGAGCTGAAACAAGGGCGTCTTTAAGATTTTTAAAGGCTTTCTCCGCTTCTGGTGACCATGTAAATGACACACCCTTTTTTGTAAGTTGCGTCAATGGACGGGCAACACTGGCAAAACCCTGTACATGCCGCCGAAAGAACCCACATGCCCCCAGAAAGCGGCGAACCTCACGTACAGATCTGGGACGTTTCATATCATTAATGACCTGAACCTTAATGGGATTGGGTAACACACCATCAGGGCTTACAACAAAACCAAGGAACTCTATCTGGTGTTTGGCAAATAAGCACTTAGCAAGATTAAGTTTCATACCAGCCTCATCTAACAGTGCTAGAGTTTCAGCAAGATTATTTAGATGGCTTTCAAATGTCTTACTGGCCACAACTACATCATCCAGATACGCTAGCGTGTGTCTCCCAAGCACACTTGACAGCACAACATTCATCGTCCTCTGGAATGTAGTTGGGGCCGTGGATAACCCAAAGGGCATTCTTTGAAACTGGAAGAGGCGTGCTCCATCAGTAAAAGCTGTTTTTGGCCTATCTTCCTCAGCTACCTCTATTGCCCAATATGCTGCTCTACTGTCCAGTACGGTATACCAAACATTGCCCGTCAAACTGTCTATGACCTCGTCGATTCGAGGTAAGGGATAACTATCAGCAGCAGTGACATGATTCAAGCCCCGGTAGTCAACACAAAAGCGAACTGTCCCATCCTTTTTCCTTACTAGGACTACCGGAGAGAGCCAGGGTGACGTGGAAGGCTCAATAACCCCTTGCTTAAGCATTGTGTCACACTCTGAACGTATCAGCTCCTTGGTTGCCTGAGGAAGACGCCACTGCCTAACACACACAGGTTGATCTGTTTTAGTAACAATGTGGTGCTGTATACCAGTTACCGATAGTTGCTTTGTCCCCAGAGAAGAGTCGAGGAAACTTATTCAAAACTTTACCGAGTTCCTCTTGCTGCACAGAATCTAAGTGACCCAAATCTACCTGTTTACTTGGTGAATCACTACTTTCTACATTAATGCCTGATTTATTTGGAGAGAGGACAGAATCATCAGAGCAGGCATCAGAACCACTCAGAGCTGGAGTATCTGGGAAAACAAAATACTCTTCGTCTGAATAACCAAAGTCCTGTGTTGCATAATATTCATCAAGACTATCGAAACTAAAGTTACAGAGCTCGATATCATCATCTGAAGTATCTGAAGGACACTCGGCTACTTGTTCATCTGCTGGCCATACCTTGCAAGATCTAGGGGCCAGTTCATCTGCGTCTATTTCAGCAAGGGAGTGTACCTGAGTAGTGGCATCAGTGAACTTGGGTTGTGAAAACTCGGCAGCCTCTGGGCTGAAATCTCGTCCTGCATGCCCAGTTGAGGAGGGATGAGTCACTGTATCCTCCTTCACCCTGGGTTCTTTTCCTGTCACATTACCCTCTGCACTAACATCCACCAACTGCTCTGCTCCTACTTGCTCTGCAAAACCTATACAAGTACCCTGTGTCAATTTCCTTTGTTTTGCATCTGGATTTACCACCCAAACTGACGTTCTTCTGCCTGTACAGCAGAGATGGAGCGAGGAACAATGAACTTTGGGTTTGTTCCCTCCACTAAAATTGCCCTAGACTCTGGGAGACCTCTAGCAACAGCAGCACTAACAAACTGCCCTGACTTAGGCTCAATGAACTCTGTCTGAACCACATGAACCGGAGCTATGCGGAGGGTCTGTGTTGCCCTTTCTTTCTTTAGCTACTTCTACCACCGAAGGCACAGACACACAGCCCAAACTGTCCTCTCCAGTGTACTTGATTGGGAAATTGACTCCACCTAGCAACAAATAAGCCTTGGAAGATTTGTTACCGGTAAATAACTTCATGTCTAACCTGCGTAGGAAATCCATTCCCATCAGCAAGTCCCTGGAAAATGAATTTTATCTGCAACACAAACACGATGCAAAAGTTTTGATTCACCTATAGTAAAAGTACATCCATTTCTCCCAGTACTGACATCGCAGCCCCAGCACGCCCTGAAGAGTCTTACTGCTACGTAATATCTTTGTGTCAGACAAACTAGAGGCCACTGAAGCTTTAAGAATGGTGACTTCGCTACCTGTATCAACAAATGCTGTCAGGACTTTACTATTGACCCGAACCTGGATTGTTGGTCTCCCTTTGGGAGACACGACTTGTGGGCTCACATGAAAAGTTTCCTCTGCCGGCAGGAAGTGGTGTCGTGGCCTGCCGGCGCGACGGAAAGGGACATGCCGCCGCGAAATGACCCTGTTCACCACAGACATAACACAACCCTTGACCCCTCATACACTCTGATGTATTATGGCTACTAACCCTATGATAGGTGCACCACTTCTTAGGGCGCACTGCCTGAAATTGTCGTTGCCTAGGAGAACCCGGCTGACCCCTCTCATTGTCAAAGTTGTGGGAATGGCCTGGGGAACCCTGTCTGAGTTGCCTGAGTAGCCTGAACAGAAAAAGGGTTGTCTGAATAAAAATCGAGACCAGGAACACTTTCAGCAGGTAAGGGACGTGTAGTAGGTGGGTAGGTAAAGGTAGAAGACGAGGGAGGTGAGGCCACGGGCTGAGATGCCTGGCCGCCACAATGACGGGAAACCTGAGTGGCGAGGGGAAGAGACATTCGTAGACCTGTCCAATCATTCCAGGCACACTGTACCCGCTCAGCCATGGCTCGAGCCGAGGAGAACGTGTGCAAGGAAAGTTGGCGCTGCAACCTTTCTGGCAAGCCAGCCTTGAAAGTCCTCCTAATGAGTCCCTCAGCATCACCTATCTCGTGAGGATAATCCCTCACACCCTGGAACACCGCCATCTCGACCTGCTGATAATAGTCAAGCGGCGTCTGACCTGGAATCATTCTACTCTGTGACAGCATCTCGAAAAAACTTTCACTGGTGCAGGTACCTCTAAATTTCATGCGAAGCTGAGCTTTAAATTCTGTCCACGAAGAAATAAACTCAAACACGGGGAGAGCAACAAATACTGTGCATATCCCCTGGCCCTAGCTTTAGCAACACGAATAAAATTATCATCTGTAGGAGGTCTTGCTAGAGCCTCAATGGTACTAATCCAGGCCTCTACTTCCTGATTGCGAACCAGAGGCATTGATGCTGGTGTATCCCCTTTAAATACTGGGACCTCTTCACGCCCCAAATAAATGGGATGAGGTGTGTGGCTATAATCTGAGGTCGTGGGTAATTGCCCTACAGAATGACAGCATGCATGACGTGCCTGAGGCTGTGGCCTGGGGAGGCATGACTCGCGGGCGTCAGGCCTTCCCGAAGGCCCACTAGCTAACTGTGGAGGTGGGACGCTCCCCCGAGAAAGTTCGGGAGTGGATGCTCCAGAGCGAGGCTCATGCGGAGTCCGTAATTGCCGCATCTCTTTCTCGCAGGTGCCGTTCTGTCCTTCTAAGGTATCTATCCTATGTAAGGCAGCCTCTAATTGAGCCTGAAGGGCTCCTAATTCCAATGGGGCAGCACCCTGGAGAGGGGCACTGTCATCACCCTCCTGCATGGACGCACCATCGGGAGCCACGTGGCTTCCCTGCACATCATGGACCGGCATAATAGCGACACTGAGCTCAACTGGAGTATTGGCGCGACTGCCCTTCTGACCGCTTTTCTGGCCTGCCCTCGTCCTAGCCATCAGCCTCTTAGAAATACGAACAAGAGACCTTCTCTGAGCGCGGTTACAAGTACTTACTGTTCCCCGAGAATCTTCGCTCAACAAGTCAGCACAGCCACAAGAGACCAAGTCATCTAATAACGTAACACCCGGTACTGTGGAAGACATACGACATAAATATACATGAGAATATGAAACGAATTACACTTCACACTCGTACATCACTATACATATCACTTTA